CTGCATATCACAATTCACCGTGCATGTCATCTCCAGGCGTTTCAAACATTCACTATGTAAGTGAATGGCTCATCATTATAGGAATAATGGCTTAATAATCATTGTTGACGGTCAGTCTGAGTTGGGTGCCCGATTTGAGGCGTTAGAAGCTTTGGAAGCCAACTGCTCGTCAGAATTTCAGTGCCTATTCACAAATAACGTTTAAAAAGACCTCCCGAGTCTACAACGTGTCTTAGAAACATGAATGAAGTCTTTTGAAGTTTGGTTTCGTATACAGGCTGCAACGATACTAAAAAATGTAGAAAAGCACTTCCTGTGCGCAAATCTATGATTCCAAGGTGCAAAATCTCTAAAGAACTGTATTTACTGCTAAGATAATAAGGAACGTTTCCTGAAGTTCCGAGGAAATTGTAGACTACACACCCAAAAGAAACCAAACTTTCAACCGCTCATCCAAGGATAGGGAGATGGGTTCACAGCAGTTGGTGGCAAAGCGGCTCCAGGGCCCGAGTGGACAGCCGAAGTTGAATTAGAGGTTGAAGAAAGTGACGTTCCCCCGTTCACCAACTTCAGATTTGGAGGGCGGCTGAGCGGACAGAGGGGACGCTGGGATCCCTCGTCTTCGAGAAAGAAAAGTTGAGTGGAAAAAGGAGCAAAGCTGACTCCTTTGAGCTATGATGGAAGCTGTCAGCCTAAGGGAGAGACAACCCTTGGGGGTTTGTGCGTCGGGTTAGGATCCTGTCAATTGTTAAAACCTAAATATACTTACAGCATCTCGTGTCGAACAGGTCACATGGCCTTAACCCTGACGGGAAGAACAGTTACAAAACACGAATGGGTTTTACTTTACTGTCTAGTGTACCGTACGTGTATGAAACAAAGTATTGTGATGTTGCAGGAAAAATTGAAAATTTTCACCAGAAAAAAAATATTTTGTTATTGGTCCCTTATTACCGTAAAAGTTGGATAATTCTCGCTACTATGTCTAAACAACTTTCTTTAATACTTGAGTAGGCAGAATCCACGGTTGGTTCGTTTCTTTGGACACTTAAGCTCTGCTTTTTAAAATGTTCGCTGTCCGTCTGTAAACACTAAAGCTCTTCTCTTCTTTGAATATCCGACGCGTTTTAGGATTTCTATTTGAAATTGGCCAGTTTAAAATGCAGAATAGCAATAGTGGTAAGAAGAGCAAAACTGTTAAATCAATAGGGTATTAAAAGAAAAAAAACTAATAATTTTAACTATTAACATTCTTTTTACTCAGCGTTGTTTAAAGGTATTTCTTTTGGTTAGGATAATTACTTCAAGTTAGTGGTTCTTATAGACGTTAGTATGCGTACTTATTTCTATATATTGTAGAATGTTTCCAACCACAAGCATTTAGTCCACCCATTCACTCAGGATTTGAGGGTTGTGTCTCTGACATTTACATTTTCCCTTTTCAGGTCATTTATTTTTGCATTAATAGATCAACTCAGGCCACGAGTACATCCTGCTGCAAGCAACAAGTACCTTGCTAGGGATGGGGGTGGGGTGTTAGCAATTCAGCTGAATCCCGGTTTTTATTCCCCCAAGGGTGTTTTAGTTCTGCGGAGTATGGGACGATGAGATTGATATTGGACAGTTGGTTAGTGATCTATGGACCGCAACACATATAGTCATCCACAAAATACACCCATATCCGAGGCGAGTGACTCCGAATCGACTGTCTTTAGTCTCTCTGGTCCGAGGACCGCTACGGTACTACATGCCCTAACGAAATCGCCAACCTGACACCGGCTTTCCCTAAGCTATGTTCGAGTCAACGGATCAATTCTTCATTTAAATCAAATTCAGAGAGATTTACATCAAACACTGCCAAAGGACACTTTAGATTTATTATTTGATCTCTGAAAGACGCCACACGTGTTGAGTGGACGACGCTTATGATTTTTACATGCAGCCCCGCTGTCGTGCTGAAACTCAACAAAGGAACAACATGAAGTGGGCATGGAGGCGTTCCATGGCAAATACAGGTAAACCACTAAGCTCGCAGAGGTCTCCACGAGATGGCAAGCATCGTGGCCAGCCTCTGATTCCGCAGCGTCCGGACCAAAGATTCGATATGAAAGAAAATAGCGCAGGGATGAGGCCGTTATGAATGAGGTTAAAATTTAATATAGATTGTATTTTATGAAAAATATCTAGCTTCAATATTAAGAGACATTTAGAGCAGTTTGGAAAAAAATTGAACTCTTTAATTTTCAAAAATTTGTATGGCTTCTTGACGAAAAAAAGCATTATTCCAAAATCCAATTGTGGGAAATGAAAAAAACCGTTAGCCACCCTTTCAATACCTTCCTATTTTTCTATATATCAGTGATCACTTTTGTGTGTGTGTGTGACTAATGCACTTGAGGCCTCTTACTTGATATCATCTCTGATGTACAAACGTTCACACTATAAGGGGTCGCCCACCGTCCCCTATTGACACTTCGCATCGCACCGACGGCTGAGATCCACAGAACGCCGCACACGACCATCGTCACGACTCCTAGAAACGCATACTTCATGAGTGCGACTTACTAGAGTGACACTACACGAACCATTCGCTCGCCCATCCCTCGCCCACCATCCCCTCCGCCCCCTCCGCCCCCTACGGCCCCTCGGCCCCCTCGGCCCCCTCGGCCCCCTCAGGCCCCCTCGGCCCCCTCGCGCCCTCTCGGCCCCCTCGGCCCCCTCGGCCCCGTCGGCCCCCTCGGCTCCCTCGGCCCCCTCGCCCCCTCGGCCCCCTCGGCCCCCTCGGCCCCTTCGGCCCCCTCGGCCCCCTCGGCACCCCTCGCCCCCTCGCCCCCTCGCCCCCCTTCGGCCCCTCGGCGCCCCTCGGCCTCTCGGCCCCTCGGGCCCCCTCGGCCCCCTCGGCCCCCTCGCGGCCCCCTCGGCCCCTCGGCCCCCTCGGCCCCTCCTCGGCCCCCCTCGGCCCCCTCGGCCCCTCGGCCCCTCGGCCCCCTTCGGCCCCCTCGCCCCCTACGGCCCCTCGGCCCCCTCGGCCCTCGGCCCCCTCGGCCCCCCGGCCCCCTCGGCCCCCTCGGCCCCCCTCGGCCCCCTCGGCCCCCTCGGCCCCCTCGGCCCCCTCGGGCCCCCTCGGCCCCCTCGGCCCCCTCGGCCCCCATCGGCCCCCTCGGCCCCTCGGCCCCCCGCCCCCTCGGCCCCCCGGCCCCCTCGGCCCCTCGGCCCCCTCGGCCCCCTCGGCCCCCCGGCCCCTCGGCCCCCTCGGCCCCCTCGGCCCCCTCGGCCCCTCGGGCCCCCTCGCAGCCCCCTCGGCCCCCCGGGCCCCCTCGCACCCGCGCGCCCCCTCGGGCCACCCTCGGCCCCCCTCGGCCCCCTCGAGCCCCCTCGGCCCCCTCGGCCCCCTCGACCCCCTCGGCCCCTCGCCCCCTCGGCCCCCTCGCGCCCCCTCGCCCCCTCGGCCCCCTCGGCCCCCTCGGCCCCCTCGCCCCTCGGCCCCCTCGCCCCCTCGGCCCCCTCGGCCCCTCGGCCCCTCGGCACCCCTCGCCCCCTCGGCCCCCTCGGCCCCCTCGGCCCCCTCGGCCCCCTCGGCCCCCCTCGGCCCCCTGCGGCCCCCGCGCCCCCTCGGCCCCCCTCGGCCCCCTATCGTCCCCCTCGGCCCCTCGAGCCCCTCGCGCCCCTCGGCCCCTCTGGCCACCCTCGGCCCCCTCGGCCCCCTCGGGCCCCCTCGGCCCCCTCGGCCCCCTTCGGCCCCTCGGCCCCCTCGCCCCCTCGGCCCCCTCGCCCCTCGGCCCCCTCGGCCCTCGGCCCCCTCGGCCCCCTCGGCCCTCGGGCCCCCTCGGCCCCTCGGCCCCCTCGGCCCCCTCGCCCCTCGGCCCCCTCGGCCCCCCGGCCCCCTCGCCCCCTCGCCCCTCGCCCCCTCGGCCCCTCGGCCCCCTCGGCCCCCGCCCCCTCGGCCCCCTCGGGCCCCCTCGGCCCCTCGCCCCCTCCGGCCCCTCGGCCCCCTCGCCCCCTCGGCCCCGCGGCCCCTCGGCCCCCTCGGCCCCCTCGGCCCCTCGCCCCCTCCGCCCCCCTCCACACCCGCTGCCCCCTCCATCCCTTCTTCCTCTGCCCCTTCCCCCCACAACGCCCTCCGCACCCCTTCCCACCACCCGCTGGCCCCTCCACCCCTCTTCCTCTCTGCCCTCTCCACCCTCCGTCCCCTCCGCCCACTCCGCCCCCGCACCCTCTTTTGCTCCTCCTCCTCTCTGCCCTCTCCACCCCGGCCGCCACTCCGCCCCTCCGCACCCCTCGCCCGTCCTTCCTCTCCTTCCCCTCTGCCCCCTCCTTCCTCTCTGCCCCTCCGCCCCCTCTGGCCCCACGCCCTCTTCCGCCCTCTCCGTTCTCCTCCGTTCTTCCTCCCGGCCGCCCTCCGCCCCCACCCCCTCGGCGCCACTCGGCGGAGGCCGTCCTCTGGCGGGCGGCGCAACCGCCTCATTAGCGCCACCCCTCCCCGTTGTTGCGCCGACTCGACACAAACCGACGCTACGCAAAGCGCGGGCGGGCTCCAGCGCTCGATAGAGGAGGGCCCTCCAGCGGCCTCGCGTGGCACCCGGGGGGGCAACAAGCCACTGCCGCCCTCTTCATTTCTGCTGCCCTCCGCCCGACTCAGCTTCGCCGCCTCACACAAACGGCGCGACCTAATTTTACACCATTACACACGCGAAGAGGGGACACATTTACAACGACGCATGCAAATTATTAAGAAACTAACTTTACGTCACATTAAATATAATCCTTAAATAAACTTGTTTATTAAAATACAAATCTTCCCGTTTGACGGTGCATTTCTTTCCTTCAATGTTACTCACAAAAAGGAATCTTTCGGAAAACAATATAAAATACTTTAATGTTTGCATATGAGATGTTAATTAAGTTTCCCAATTCTACAAAAAGTGCAATATTTGCAAGATGATGTTTGGAACTTTATATTTTAGCAAAAGTTATGGTTCATTTATTTAAAAATAATTAAGTTAAGTTAACTGAAGAAAACATTGTTTCTATTTTTAATCAATATTTTCCCAAAGTGTTCATCGTTTTTATTCTTCTCTTGATATCTCTTTATTCTTTTCTTGATAAAAATTCACACATTAATGCGAACGATAACAATTTTTAACAATTATTGGATATTGAAAAAATGAATAATCTTTGAAATATAACTCAGAATTCAAATACTGGAATACAAAGTCAAAGCCGTTTATATCTGTTTATTGTTAATAACGCGAAGTGTTATTGTGGTGTTAAGTGCTATCTTATAGGAGCTACGCAGTTTATCTGGCTTTATTAAATACATTTGTTTCGTCTGTAAAAGACATGTAATCATTAATCGTTTCAAATTCGTATATATTTCAATTTCATATTTCGTGAAAGATGGAACTATGAAGTACGAGAATCTCTCTTTGCTCTCACGACGCTCCCAGTATTTGCGCGGCATTGAAACAGAATTTCATCGAAATCTTTCTCGTGTGCTTCGACATACAGAGGGTTTTGTTTCTTTACTGAATTATAGTAACACATACACTCAAAATCTTATTGCGAGGAAGGTCGTAACTGTTTCAATAGAAGTAGAACTACAAACATAATTCGAAAGCACGGTTGAAATAGTGAAGAAAGTCCCGATATTTGGGTCAGAGAGAATAATCGAAGCGAAACAATCTCCGAGAGCTAAGCACAAAACTGCCACTGCAGATCTCGGTGATATGAACACGGGTAGCACACGAGGGTATTTGGCAGCAGTTGCCGTTCGTTTATTTATTCTTTATTTCTTTATTTCTAAAACATTCGTGATTCACTTAACACATTATGCGGATTTAATATTATGAACATTGAATTTTAAAATAAATGTTACTACAAAATGTTGTTTTTTCTTCAGATTTTATTTTTTTGCAATACGGACGCCTAAGGACACACGCACATAGGACGCTGGTTACTGGCGTTAGAGATCCCGGCGTCGATTTACGTCATTCAGTGGCTGGACAGCTCCATGTTATCAAATGGTGAAGGACACACGAACGCACGTCAAAAGTTATCGACGTACAGTCGTCAGCGCCTGCCAGCTGCCGGAACTCCTGGGAGTTTTGGCTCTTTGATCGCGCACGATGGTTCTCAGTAGAGACATGACTTTGGAGCCGGGTTTTCACAAGATTCAAAATGGATATAATACATTTTGTGTTTGAGGTGTTTGTGAGGCCGCTATGAGGGATGAAAGACAAACTATCCGCCAACGAATGCGGAAAAATGCTGGAATATTTTTTTTCTGCACATATACATAAGGAAACATTTACCTGACCTCGTTTTAGTTTAACAATGTTGAAAGTTACATTAAGTGAAACATTAATCATTCAAATCAATAGAAACTAAACGAAAATACGTTTTCCGAAAATTTACCGATTTGGGTGAGTGTACACAATTAATGATTATGCGAATTCAAGAAAACTATCTTCCATATTGTATTAAACGGTTGTTCAGTACATGGCCCTGTAACGTTATGTGAAGACATTTGAACTGCGTTCTTGGGCTATCAAATCTTCATTTATCCATAACTTTGTATTATAAAATACACATACACTATAATTCTCGTAAATTAATATCAATATATATCCTTTTGTTTGGGGCGTTTGTATTACAATGTTTCAAAAGCGCATTCAGTAGCCTTATTCCGTTGTTACATATTTTGATTTACTGTTTTTCATAAACGTCCCTTATCTTCCTCGCACACGCGTGGAAATGATGTTCTAAGAAGAACCCCTAGTTATTAACCCTGATGGATCAGCGTGTTGTGTCCGCCCTTGCTAGACTAGCAGCGCTGCTTATCATCAACGAATGCAGGAGTCGCCGTGCCAGCGTTCATAATTAGTCAGACTGTATTTGGCAATTAATTTAATGACAGTATATACAGTATATAGTTTAGTATTTGGCCCTTAATTTAAAGACAGAAAATTATATATGTCTATATATCAATGTTACATGTGATACATAATAACAACAGTCTATATGTTTGTATACTAATAAAATGTTTAAATAAGCGGCTAGTCACTCACTATGGAACCCTTCACAATTTTAAATAATAAATATTTTCCCTTTTATAGGTGGGTTGTTCTAGTTAAACCTACACGCCAAATGTTTCATTCTGTAATTGAAATAACATTACAAAGTAGCCTATTTAATTCAGTGCACTATATTACAGTTCTACATAATGATATCTGTTTCTGAATAACTCCAACGTTGAGATATATTCCGTAAATTAAATATGATAAATTAAATTGTGTTGTCTGATATCAAACAATTATTTTGCTAATGATCATTCCGATCATTCTCAGAGCTTGCAATTTCCGAGGAGAAAACAGATCTCTTAAATTTTTGATACCAGAAAACACCTTTAATTTACCATATTTAATTAGTAGATGGTATCTACCTCACCAGCGATCTAATTAATAATATTCCGTAAAACCACACAGTTAGGAGATTAGAATAAGTATCAGTAATAATGTAGTCATTGTGCCCCCGCATTTCTCTCACTCCTCTTGGAAAGAAAGAACACTATTCACTGAACAAGGTAAATGAGTGGTTCATTGTCAAGCTAAAGAGCTATAACTTGAAAAGCGTTGCGTTGCGTTGGGTAGGTTGTATTAAACTTGGTGAATGAGGCACTACTGATCTGCACAGTAGGTACAAACATTTATATTCAGATAATTTTTTTTTAATGAAAAAATAATGACACAAAATTATGGCTGATGTACTTTTAAACTTAAGCTATGTCTATTTTACACCAAAGTTTTATGGCCTTGACTACCGATTCTTAATATCATACATACAATATTAAATATCTGATACAAACTTAATGACTTAATCCGGCAGAAGGTGAGTCATGTTTCGTAAGAAATTGAGGCGCAGATCACCCCACAGTAAAAAACACAATAATAGGAGAAAATAATACAATACTTTGTTTCTTTTATAAATAGGTGTTTATTTTAAAGTTTATATAAAGATTTTAGATCCAACAAGAGAATTACTAATTTCCATTAATTTGTTTTATCATTTTCAAAGTACTTCATGTGCTTAATGAATATGTACTTGCTTCACACATTAAATGATGTACTTTTTCTGTTGTTGTTTTTCCCGTCGCGTATGGCTAAGAACGTTTTCTCAACCGAGAAAATGTTTTAAAATACTAAAAAAAAATCTCGTAAGTAATATTATATAAATATTTTGCAATAAAATCTAACTATAGTATCATAATGTAAATATAATATATTTAAATTATGATACTGTATGTTTCACGTAAGTACGAATATATTTGATTTTACTATGACCAGAAACAAACCCCTGTACAAAGACCCTGTGCAAAAGAGGAAACTAAAATAAACCCACAAATTGGAATAACATTAACACACTATAGTCAATAAAAGGATCTAAATTACATTAACCATAGTGAGTGATTAATGATTACCGTAAAACCGATTACTGTGCGTCTGGATTGTCCTGGATTGTCAACTATTGCGAATTGCTTGACAAAGAGCAGTAACGAAGGTAGGCGCACGATGACTCAGCGACACTACGCAGCGACACATTTCTGAACTTGAAGACGTTGGAAGATAAGTGGCCATTTATGTACACAGAGCTTCTCTTGAAAGGCATTGAGAAGGTCAAAGATTATAAATATAGATCTGAAAGTCCAGTGAACTCCGAAACAGGGTTGGAGTGACTCTGGCACACCGCGACACACTCCCGGATTGACGATTAGTAGGTGCTTACGAAGTTTCATATTATTAGAAAAAGTAAATTTTAGGAATTTTCTACGATATTGTTTTATGTTTACACACGGTCTACTCGCTCTAGTTTGTCAATACCGTCCGTGCGGTTCCTTTTCCTGGGAGGTCGTGGGGTTTGACTCCTGACGGTGGCAGGATTTTCGATAGTAGCTCGAGAGCTAGGTCGAGTTCAGTCGTTATCTGGAAGAGAATTCTAGCGACCGGCTGCTTAGATCGGATGTTTTTCGTGGTTTCTCCGATCAACAATAGGCGAATGCCGGAGAAGGACCCTAACTAATAACCGCGGGCTACTAACCGCGCGCGATATTTCCTTCCTCTTCCTTGTCCTATCCTCACCCCTTACCTATACACACTTACACTTACTTGCACTACACTACCACACATGTCGGGAGATTACTGCTTGTCTCGGCTGGTGGGAGATACCTGGTTGGGAAAATAACCAGACAGCAGACGGGTAGGTCGGTGTCGGATTGCTCCATCCAGATCATCCGCCATTGATAAAACATGCACTATATTTACGGAAATAATGAGCTTAGGAGTTGACGCGGACGGAATAACTAATTAATCCATCTTATCGGCTCCAAAACCTGCTGAAGCGAGATTTCAAACACGGGCGTCCTTGCGAAGATACAGCAAAGAACTCGTACAGCGGAGCCGCAACGTGTCGCGTTTCGTCCGTGAAGGTCTAGTTGCCAACAGAGGCCTCAGGTAGCGCAACTGTCCTTCAATGAGCAAGACTGTCATGCCGAATGGGACAACCGGACGAATGTTCGTTGGCGTTATGTTATAAGAATGTCAGGGCTTCCTGCATTCCCTTAAGAGGCCGACACCGTGTAAAACTTTGAAGTATTATTTACATTTTCAATGAGATTTCTTCACAAATATTTTTTGGAACATTTTCCTAGTTATTTTATGGACAATTCTGAACAACTTATTTATTCTCAAACTCTTACAACTCAAAGTTTCTATAACGAAAATAATGATTTTTCATCTTATTATCATTGTTTTTCAAATTTGTAAATACTAGCTCTTGAAAAAAACAATACATATAAACAGAAAAAATATGATCACAAAATGTTATCCTTTAAAATTTAAATTTTAAAGGATAAAATATTATGTCAATTCATTTTGGAGGTTTTCAGATAACGTTACCTTAATCTCTTCATTGAATTTAATGTGAAAGTACAAATATGTGAACCTAAAAGAAAATTGAATGTGGAAAACAGGACGATACATTTCTTTTACTTATGAATTATGTATAAAGCAATATTAAATCTCTTCCAAGAATGCATATTTTATACAAGCATATTTTCTAAAGTTTTACGGTATAGAATCCTCTCCCTACTAATAATCATTCATGTGTGGTAGACAGAGCCGTATTCCAGGCGAATGCGGCGGGTGCGCTCACCTGGAACTCCACCTTGTACAGCACTGGGAACTTCCGGCGCAGCTCGCACATGCGCGGGTAGTTCTTCAGGTCAATGGGTTTGTCCGGCAGCGACGACGTCACGCCATTTTCCTCTGTAACAAACGAAGGCCATCACTTAGCTGCGAAACCAATCGCAGGACATATATATGCTCGACTGAAATATTTTTAGGCAGAAAGAGTTAGGTATACTGGTAGGTTATCACAGTTAAGAATCACATTAAAATTTACAAATGATGCAAATTTCATCTCATCAGGTCTCAATTTTCAAACAATGTCAAAATTTCGAGTTGCTGATAGCTCACGTACAAGCTCGCTCAGGTAGCTTAACTTTTTTCCAAAATGCAAAAGGGATTAAAAGACGTAATTTGGTTTTGCTAAAATAAACCACTGTATGAAAAATACAAAACTTGTCAACAGTACAGACGGTGCACTAGAATATCTTTTTACATATTTCTCATTTCTTCCAGGTCTTCTTCATTATTAAAGTCTTTGTTCCAATCCATATTAAATCAGAGAGGAAAATACAACGTAATACAGCGAACTGTAATACTTCATGAGGCTAGTAATATTATAAGATAACTTTGAGGCAATTTTATTCATAGCTAAATAATTCACGAATATTACAAATATTAGAAAATATTAAAGCATTTGAAATTAGACACCGGGATACCGTACCACTAAACCACGTTGGGAGCTCACAACCGACAATATTGATGTTGTTCACGGTACCGAAATTATCTAAACTGAAAACTACGAAAATAACAGGTACGACAACTGACTAACACCAATCGCTGTTAAAAAAAAAAGCAAAAACAAAAGTACCTCCACGATCTGCAAATTCGCCCGCGCCTAACGGAAGGTTAATCGCCGCAGCTTCCCTCCGCTGGCCCGCTGATCTCGTTCGTTGCGCCGTTTGGCCTCCGACCGCCCGTGTCGCTCGGGCGGGGCCGGGCGGAGAACACCTTTTGTGCGGCGGGCGAGCCCGCGGCCCCGCCCGCAAAAACGGTCGAGCCTCAGCGAAAACTCTCTAGCGAAACGGGGGCGACCGCGGGCAGGCGGGTTGGTGGAAGGGGTGGAGGGGGTGCAGCGAGGGGTCGCGCCATTTGCGACGATTTAATCCGCCTTTTGTGCGCAGTCGTCGCCGCACGACCTTACCGACGACGAGCGCCGTCACCAGCCGCCTCCGCCTCAGCACAGTTGATTTGATTGACTAATGGAATCCCGGATGCGGGAACTGATAAGATCATTATTCCCGTAAGTGTAGTATATGTTTTTTTATCGTGGGAGGTGGTTGTGATCTTCCCCCGCTGGATGGAATGATCCGGTCTCCGACCTAACCGTGGGCTTGCGGATTTTTCCCCCTAAACATGTATCTCATACCAGCGGAGCACCGTCTCTGCCGGGGCAGGTTCTAACCTCCTGATACGTGGTAGTGTAGGGCATATAAGTGTATGTTTGTGTAAGTGAAGAGTGATGATAGGACAAGGAAGAGGAAGGAAATGTTCGCGCGCGGTCCGTGTCCCGTTTGTTAAGGTACTGCTCCGGCATTCGTCTGGTGTTGATAGGAGACACCACGGAAAACTGTCGATGGGAGCAGCCGGCCGCTAGATGTCTCCCCCAGACAGCGACTGAACTCGGCCTTGCTATGTAGATAGTGTCGAATATCCTGCCACCACCGGGACTCGAACCCTAAAACCTCCCTTTCAGAGGCACTGCAGTGATATGATGCCCTGAGCCACCTCAGCCGGTGCGCGAGTAGCAGAATAGAACACGAAATAAACCAGGCGTATCTGGGTGGGGAGGAACCATAATATCTCCGAGTGACGGATAGCACATGTATACATATACAGGTTGTACTGATTTTCTGTAGAACAGAGAGTTATTAAATTTCTCAATTTAATACGATATAAATAAATATAAATTAGCACATTTAAAAAAATCCTACATCAATGGAAAGTTCTTTATAAAGAAGTTTCAAGTCGACTTATCACTGCACCTGTACCCTCTCCGAATTAAAATCCTGGTTGTGCCACTGCGAACATCATGTAGCAAATCCTATGTTACGGTGTGGATTTGACAGTAAACCAAGATCGTATGTCTTCTAATTTTCGAGTTCATTGCAATGCAACTTCTTGGGTTCTAAAACCTTGAAACCACGATCGTTGCTGGCGTAAATCCACAACTAACTTTTGACGAGGGGACATCTAAAAGGCAATTTCCAGGGCATCGCTTCTCCACGCGAGTGCGCCTCTGATGTTGGTAGGACTGAGTCGGGGAGGGGGGGGGAGGGACGCTCAGCCTCCATGTAGCCACCGCCCTCTCCTCGCGGAGTTCAACGCACGGAGATTCTGGAGCCCTATGGGACTCGCAGCATCTACGTATTTATTTTTAGTGACCGTATAAGAGTTGGATTTTTGATTTCCAGAGGTCTTGTTGCACTTTATTATAGTGCCCCGTCAACCATGAAAGGCGAGATATATAAGTGGCATCCGCTGTAATTGGCGATACGTTGCGAGCAGTGTCTCGAGGGCGATGAGCCAATATTCGTGACGAGAGGGATGTAACGAAGAGGTGGAGAGAACATCGTGAGGAATGCGGGCGAGGGAAGGATGAGGGGAAGGATGAGCGACGAGGCGCCCCGCCCCACCGCGCCCCACCGCCCCCGCCCGCCCCCACCGCCCCATGTTGCCCCCGCCAACACGCCACCCCAGACGCTCCCGACCCTCCCGCCCCCCCCCCAGCCGCGCTCTTTCACCCACCCGCCGTCCCCACCAACCGAGGCCGCCCCCGCCGCCCCGCCGCCCCCGCCGCCCCGCCCGCTGCCACCGCTTCCGCAGCCCTCAGGCGCTCCGCGCGCCACGCCGCCCGGAGTATGCACTTTTCGGCACCGGGAGGCGCCGTAATCCCCTCGGCTCCGTCGCCGACTTAAGAAAATTAAGGTGCCCCGCCACTTGAGTTTGTGGCCCCGCGCCGCTGAGCCTCCCGGAGGTGTCTGGGTGTCGGAGTGACGCCGGCGGACCCAATTTGCCCCGCGACCTTCGCAACCGGTCCCGTCCCCCAAAGCATTTTTCCTGGGCCGCCGAACCTCTTCCTTCCACCCCGGGGGCCCCCCCCCACCCGTCGGCCTTTTGGACATCCAAAAAGCCCAAATGGGTCTTCTCCTTCCGCGTTTCCTTCGTTGCTTTTTATTCGCCCCTCGGCCCACGGGCCCAATTTTCCCTGTTTTTAAAAGGCCCTTCTTTTCTGGGATTGGCCCTTCCGCCCGTTTTTTTTCCCCAAATTTTTCCCTTTTTCCCCAAGAGCCCCGCCCATTGCTTTCTCCATTCGAGGCTCGCCTCGCCATTGCCCTTCTTTCCCTCTCATCCCCCCACACCAATGTACCTTCCCCCCAACGCCCTCTCCTCCGCCGCACACCCTCGCCACGCCCACCTTACACGCCTCATTCGCCACATCTCTCTGCCACACCCACGCCACGCGCATCTCTCT